CTCTCTACCCTGGCAATTTTCCTCATATTGCTTGGATTGCTGGGAGTGGGAGGGGTTTTACTGATTGCCCTACAATTCTGTTTGCCAGTGTGTAATCACCATAAGATGGCTACATATAATCCAGTGTTTGATTAAAGAAGTCTTTTGTCCTGTACTCCAAGAAAAGGATTTTACAGGTAAGTTAAAATACAATGAGGGAAATTTATCAAAACTGGAGCAGACATTATCTGGAGCAGCTGTGCATGGTAACCAATCATGTGCTCCCTTCAAAATGTTCAGTTAAGATCTGAAAATAAGAGAGAAGTTGATCGGTTGCCGTGCACAGCTGCTCCAGATTTTGTCTGCTCCAGTTTTGATAAATTTTGATAAATTCCCCTCATTTTGTTTAGCTAGTTATGTAATGGCTATTCAGCTTTATGAATCATGGCCTCTGAGGTCTGGAGGCAGACTGTTCATGACGATTGGCAGCTTCAGCCTATGTCACATATTTTGCATATAAATATAGGCACATGTATAATATAATATGTATAATATAATATGCATAATATATTATGCATAATAAATTTGCAGCTGCTCTCCTGACAACAGCCAGGAGCTGACCTCTCAATATGTATAATCCAAGTAGCTGTATGGGTGGATGAAAGTGAGGCTCCCAGCTGGAGCTGCTGTCAGTCAATTACTATGCCCCGCCTTCAGAGCCTTAAACAGGGAACCTAAATACTGGGGGGCAGAGCAGTGTGATGACACCCATGTCACTAATCTCAGGAACTGTGAGGCCAGATGACAGGCTGCCAGCCTTAGCCACTGTCAGTCTTTTGCTATGCCCTGCCCTACACAGCCTGAGATAAAGAAGCAGACTAAGGAAGATACAGCACAGCGTTCGCGAACACTGCGCTCTGCATTTCCAAGTAGCAAACTCAGGAACACAAACTGACCACGCCAGAATGGATCTGCTTCCATGCTTGGCATGGTTATATAGAAAGAGAAGGGAACTGGCAGGACCACCATGTATTTAAATTAGTAAATTACCAAAGCATATGTTTAAGATCAATTTTAAGGTTAACATGCACGTTACCAATCATTTTAAATCTATGAACATTGATAGTATCCATGCGTTTAGAAGCATTGGCCACAGTTCTGTTATATAACTCTGGAGACTGTACAGGTATGTAGTTTATGGAAAGAGTTATTTTCAAAGGACAGACCTTTAGGACCTAATCAGCAGTCATCTTTCATTGCTCTAACCCCATACAAATGAAATTCGTTATTTTGGGTTGCTATACTTTGAACACATTTGGTATTTTGCATTGATTGGGTGTTTGGAATTAACACTGTCCTGACCAATATTAGCGGACAAGTGACTAAACATGAATAAATAGATGAGCAAGAAAAACATACACACATTTTTCTTGTTTTTTTGCCAAGCATATTTATATAAATTTGTTCAGTTGTTATGCATGCTTTTTTGTAAAGTGAAATCAAACATTATATATTATCTTAATTTTGAAGGTTTGAGGATTTTCTAGCTCGCAAGTGGTCATCAGAGAAGAGATTTGGTCTGGAAGGCTGTGAAGTCATGATCCCTGCTTTAAAAATGCTAATTGATGCGTCCAGTGAGATGGGGCTGGAGTATGTCATCCTGGGAATGCCTCATAGGTAGGGTTATATACACTACATTTTTCTAAGATGGAAAACAGTTTAACAATTCAGACATTATTTTTGAAAAAAATATTTAGATACGCAAAATAGTGTTATGTCAGGTTTCACTGGTCTAAGTTAAACCTCTATGATCTCTAGACAAGAAAAGGATAATTTGTCTTTGTAACCTATTGTTAAAAGAAAAGCTGTCCCTTGTAGGTTTATATAGTCTCAAGGAAAGTTATATAGTAGATAACTTGATAGATACCTGTATTTTTAAGGGTTCATTCACACAAGTACAAACACAGGTGTATTGGCCTACAGTGTAAAATACACCTGTGTTTTAGCCCCAGCTGCGGTTTTTCTGTTCATGGGAATACATGGACAGAAAACGCTGCATGTGGGTGTAAGTGTGTAAATCATGGGCATACCACCGTTTGTGCGGGCTGAAGTCCCCGAATACGAAACTTCTACATTTAGCAACTTTACATCCATGCCAATACACCACCTTTGTTTGCTCCCGTGAGAATGAGCGTTAATTGTAAAACATTGTATTTGGAAGAGAGATTATTAAAGAAGATGGCTCTATGTTTTACCCATTGACTTATTCCATTTTTAAAGAATGATTGTGCATTCTGTTTATTGGGTAGTCTACTGGCAAAGGAAAAGAATAAAGATTCATATATTTCTAACATCGAGGATGTTTTAGCTGGCTTTAGCTTTTGACGTAGTCCTTGCAAAAGCTGGTATCAAAAAGGAAACTATTCCTTGTCTGTGGGCATCTTTCAGGAGAATTGCAGTTATTTGCTTTAAAATGCTGTCACCAAGACAGGAAATGAGGGGAAATTGTATTTAAGGGGGACAAAACACTGTCCCTTACATTTTATTAAAAATGGCTAACGATACTTTTTTATGTGGGTCTTACTCTTCAGTGTCATAAATGTATGTTGGTAATCACAGAGGCAATCCAACTTAAGAATTTATGCCAAAAGATGTTCTTTTAGAGATGTTTTTATTTTTTTTATGCATAAGAGAAAAAAAGCTAATGTCAAGGATTATGTGTTGTGATGGGCTCTGCTACATTTTTGCTGTGACTACAATACATTTATTTTATTTTTTTATATCATAGATTGTGGTGGAGTATGACGTTGTACTGTATGTAATGTATTGTGCATTTATTATCTGTTTCTTTACAGAGGAAGATTAAATGTCTTGGCAAATGTGATCCGTAAAGATTTGGAGCAGATTTTTTGCCAGTTTGACCCTAAGTTGGAGGCCTCGGATGAGGTAATGGTTGTCTTTGTGTCAGAAGGAATACATATGTGTGGCATCAGAAAAAAACACTTTTCAGTTTTTTTAATCGATCTGTCAGCATGTAATAAATATAGTATCTTAGGCAACATTATCATCTCGCAAATGCACTCGCAAAACTGTAAAATTGCACTGTTAGATGCAATCTGAGTTTCTGGCTTATAAAAAACAATAACAATGTCCTATTGTTTACTTACATTAACAAGCATTCAAGATTTCTTGTCTGAAACTAAAAGACAGCTAATAAAAAGATCAAGTATGGAACTACATTTTATACATTCTTGCCATACAAGCTAGCATTCCCGTGTGTGAAACACTGCTTTTGTTGGATTTCCCACCATGTTGATACCAGCCCATATGACATTTCGCAAAAGACAGGTGCTTCAAAATTCTAAAATAACTGGGGCACTCCCCTTAAACACCAACCTGTTTTACTGTTGTTGTAAGTGATGGTATAGGAATAAAAGTAGGGTTTTTGTTACCTGTCCACTGTGTCTGCCTATCCCTGGTGAACTGCTAAAGGGGGTACATCATATTCCATACAAATTCACCTTGCTGCATTCAATAAAACCTGTCAAGGGAGAACATGAATGCTGCCATTGCTGACCTTCCTCCTTCCTCCTCCAGCTTCCATAGCTACTAACAAGTATGCAGTTAAAGCACATTACCACCAGCTAGATGAGGGGCCCCATCTGTAATGTGTAGCTGTTGTGGGGGTATAGCTCAAATGGGGATCACCTTCCCGGGGAAAAAAGGTAGTCCAGGCAGCAAAGTTCCTTTTCTCATCTGACTAGCAGTCAGTTTTATTTAAAAGGTTGCCATAAAATAAAAACAGAAAATAAATCCTTGCCATCCAGGCTCTGACTAAACAGGCAGGTTCCTCTCTAACAGGCGGTGAGCCTATCTCAGCCCACTCACTAAACAAACTTACTTTTTAGCAACCTTGTACTCGCAACCATTCGACTTGTAGCTCTCTCAGAACGCTGTCCGAGTCCCAGGCCAGAGCAACTACCTGTTTTCTGCCTTCTTTTTTTTAATCTCACCTGGATAAGCAACTAACCATCCAGGTGAGACATAAAACCTGAGCTGGCTCATTCAGACCCAAAGTCAGCCCGAATACCAGGTCTGGGTTCCGCTATTTCTGTATATAGGACAGAAAGTGAGTGGAGATATATCGCCCCCCGATGACTTTCCCTTTCCTTATGTCACATAGTACACAACCTACTTTCACAATATGGCAGACTGAAATATTAGTCTACTTTTCTCCTGCACTGGCAGGTCCACATTCACTGTCTTTGTTCTGTTGTCTCCATTGCTGCAACTAATTCCGGGTCTGAGGTCTTCTTCTTGGCAGCCATTGGCCAGCCACTGATAATTATATGCTTTCGTGATGGAGTCACATCTGTATGGATGCAAGCCTGGATTGTACTGCACTGTGCGCTGCCCACTGGCAGTGTGCATAAAACATTGCTAGAAGAGAGGGGAATGTTTATTTTTGCAAAATATCTTCTGCCAAAAGCTCCATCTCCTAGCATTTTTTATTATATGACTTAAGTTCCCCTTTAAGGTCTTTCTCTAACTTTTCTGATCTGTATACTATTTCCCTGTTGGTGACTTAAAATGTATCAAAGCTAGTGTGCCAGAACAATAGCTGGGCAACTAATATTTGCATAAAGAGGTAAGTTGCATCTGACCCCATTCCTCCCGTGAATCCATTCTTACAAACGCACACATCCCAGATTTTAAATAACGGTACACAAAAATGTTGCCTCTCCCGTGCAGGCCCTTGTCTACAATATTAGAAGCCCTATCTTTACAGTGTGACTGATATGCTGTTGAGTAGATAAGTTCACAAAACATTCCTGAGGTCCACTTGCTCTATATTAGAATAACTCAGGTTGACCGAATGAAGGGTAGGAGCTGGGCACAGAATAGAGAAGCAAGTAAACCCTTGTGAATTGTTACATAGTATTTGAGGTTGAATAAAGACATTAGTCCATCAAGTCCAACCTATTAGGATCTCATTCTAGGAGTACCCGTACCCCTGTATATTACGGTCCCTTAAGAAATCGTCCAAAAGTTTCTTGAACAATTCCACATTATTTGCTGAAATCACCGCCTGTGGCAGTGAGTTCCAGACCCTAACTGATCTTACTGTGAAGAACCCCCTTCGCCCCTTGTGCTGGAATTTTTTTTCCACCAATTTTAGGTGATGGCCTCTAGTTTTTGTAACGGAGTTAATTTTAAACAGTTTATCGCTAATGTTGCTACCACCATTAAACATTTTGTACATGGAAATCATATCCCCCCTTAATCTCCTCACCTCTAATGTGAACATGTTTAAATTTAGTAGCCTCGTCTCGTAGCTCTGGTCCTCCATACCCCTAATTAGTTTGGTTGCCCTTCGCTGGACTTTTTCCAACTCAAGGACATCTTTTCTTAGTACTGGTGACCAGAACTGGACCGCGTACTCCAGATGAGGTCGAACCAATGATCTATAAAGTGGCAAAATTATAGACTTGTCCCTGCAATACATCCCCTTTTTAATACAGGACAAGACCCTGCTAGCTTTGTTTACAGCAGCCTGGCACTGCAAACTACCTTTCAGTTTGTGGTCTACAATGACCCCCAAATCCTTCTCCATTTCTGACTTCCCCAGCGGCATACCCATAATTGTATAACCCATTTGTTTATTTTTAATTCCAAAGTGCATTACTTTGCATTTATCGACATTAAACCTCATCTGCCACATTAATGCCCACTCCCCTATTTTATCCAGGTCCTCCTGTAATGTTATAGTGTCTAAGTCCGTGTCTATTACCCTCCCTATTTTGGTGTCATCCGCAAACACGGAAATATCGCTGTTAACACCCTCCCCGATGTCATTAATAAATAAGTTGAACAATATGGGACCCAGCACAGAAATTGTTTGTTGATAATTTTTGTAATAATTAAATAGGTCATTGAAAAAAAAAAAGTTTTTATCACTGTAGGCACTGCAATCAATCCCTCAACCTAATGCACCATACAGGGGGTAGCTGTGAGCATAGCGTTCTGTTCAGGCTTTTCTTCTCTATAGGTTGGACTTGTGTCTTTTTTCAACCTGACTAACTATGTAAGTGCTGGATTGAATTGCATACAGTCTAATATCAGCATGGCAGGATTTTAGATACTTGTGACTGTCGTGGGTTGGTATTATTCAGGGGGGACACATGTTTTTCACATTTGTTTATAGAATAAAAAGCAGCAATGTAAATTCAAACCCATTAGCAAACTGATGCAAACTTGGAACTCGGGAGCTGCTCATTTTCCAGTGGAACTTAGTTTTAATTATAGTGTACACTCTTTGATATAGTTGTGGTGCTATTGATTTCGTGCACCAATTTCTGTTGCTAGAGGTTAGGGGAAAGCAGATGAGAAAATATGGCCCATTGAGCTTCTCGTGGTGCTAGTTGGTAAACATTACTAGGAGTCTGAAAGGTATTTATTATACAGTTGAAATTGGAGGAGCTTGAAAAGCTAAGTTAAACTGCATAAAATACAATAATATGATAAATTAGTTGTCATTCTTGGGAACAGGCAAATGTAGTAACAAAGTAAACAGTTAAAATAAACATTGGGAAATTGAGCTAATGATAAACCTACGAGGAATAGAATAGAAGACTATATTTGAAACTGGCGTGTATGTACTGTCCAGTCCAGTGATCCTCCTGAATAAATGTCTCTTAACATCTTGATTTTTTTTTTCTATTTGGAAACAAAATGTGTTTCTCTTTGCCTGTACTAACATCACACAGAGGGAAAAGTGTTCTCTTAATGAATATATTCTACTAATAATAAAATAAATGGTGCATTCAGTTCCTCCAACAAAGGAGAATCATTCCACCATTTATAGATAGATTGGACTGTTTCTAAGATCCATGTAGGAAAGTTTAGTCCTATTAATCTGAGAAAAGGTTTCCCTTGCAGTACTTCTAGTAATTAGCGGGTGTATTACAAAACAAAACTTCAGACTGAAAGAGATCCTGTCAACCGACTTAAAATATTGCAGGTAATAGCATATAAAAATCACGCATTTTAAATGGTACCTTTTGCAGTGTTTTTTTCCATTCCATAAACCTTTTATTTACTTGCCGTGTACCTTTGTACTTGCTAAAATATGACTGCTCCAGAAAGAATCAATTCCTTAGTACAGCCACAGTTCCCCTTGCTTCTGTAACGGCACAGCCCTCTACTCTTCTGGGAGTGTTTAATTACTGTATCTGCCTGCCCAGCTTCTCTGTCCTTTTCTATCTTCCCTATATTACCTTTTATGTGGCTGATGGGGGAGCAACAAAGGGGTATACCATAGAGTGTTACTTAAAGGAGAACTATGGAGAACTATAGTTCTCCTTAGGGTAACGGGAGGACACAAACTAGCGTCCTCTCGTCACCCTAAGCTCAGCTTAGCTACAGCTCCCAGTATACTGAGACGCCACATTATACTGTGAGCGGCATACTGAGACGCCGCAGCTGAAGCGGATCCCGACAATTATGTCTGGATTTGCCAAGCTGCGTGAGTGACAGCTGGCTCTGCCTATCTAGAGGCAGAGCCAGCTGTACCCGCCCCCGTCCGTTCCACCAGAGCTGTGACAGGATCGACAGGTGAGCGAGCGCCGGTATGTGTTCGCTCACTTCCCGATCTACTGAGCCAACCTGTGACAGTCTCATTGTCACAGGTCGGCTAGAACTATGAGGTGAGTGAAAAGCACTAACCTCATAGTTCTTCTTTAAGTGACCGCTCTGAATCTGTTGGGGCTGCTGACATCACATCACACTGGGACAGCAGAAGTCTCAGGCCTTTTGCGTTTTTACGCAAGAGAGGCTTTTATCTAGTGACAGGCTATCTTTAACAAAATTCAGCTCTAAAACTTTACCAAACTTTACCAAACTTTTCAACCTTAATAAACTTTACTTTTCTTTTGTTGAAGGAGGTTTGGGAGGGTAATTTGTTATAATTTGCAAAGTTTTATCTGCAAACAGGGTAACCTTACATTATTATTGGCCAGTTGTTGGCGATATAATATTTTCTGTCCTGCTGATTTTATTACCGGTTTAGTTGCTAGTACAAATAGAGTTGGAGATTTTTCTACCTCCTCCATGGGTATACACAGGTTAAAATATGTAGCATAAGAGTTCAGATATGTTGAGGGGGAAAAGATCAAGTGTTTGTAAACTTATACAAATGAATCAAATATTTGAAACTCAACATATAGGGCTATAAAAGAGTTTGAAAGGCCTTTTCAATATTAAGGAAACATAACGGTATGCCTCTCCAGTGTAGAAGTCTTTATTACGTGAAAATAATCATCAGAAATATTCTGAGGAAGGGTGCGTAGCCCCCGAAACGTGTTAACCAAGTCTGCCATGCCAGTAGTAGGATGTTCGCTCCAGACTGCATGCTTTTGATGTGACTGTCTTCTTATGTTCTCACAGTGCAGCCACTACAGGCTTTCTTAACACTGGCTGTTTGTGAGTACATTTCTTGCTTTTAATATTTACACTTATAAAGACTTCTACACTAGAGAGGCACCCTGTTTTTATGTTTCCTGTGTGCTAGAGCTTCAGACACCCTGACTGTCAGTGCTGCCCTCCTGTGAAAGGTTGTGGTGTTTTTACCCCTATGGAGGATGAACTTTTCGTGCCAGTGACATTGTTGATTGACTTTTCTAACAACATCAGCATTTGGTTAGCCTGGTTTAATCAGGTTTAGCATTCTACAATGTTACATGTTTGACATAATGATATTCGTCTTTTTGAATCAAATAGAAGGTATATTTATTCAAGGAAAAAAAGTTACAAAATAAAAATGTAATGGCCCTCATCACATATTAATGCTAATATTGGTCTTTAATGGTTTCAGGGTTCTGGAGATGTAAAGTACCACTTGGGGATGTACCATGAACGCATTAATCGGGCCACCAACAAAAAGCTAACCCTGTCTTTGGTTGCAAACCCTTCACATCTGGAAGCAGTAGATCCTGTAGCTCAGGGGAAGACCAAAGCAGAGCAATTTTATAGAGGAGACAACGAAGGAAAAAAGGTGAGGTTATTAAAAGTGAGAAAACAAAACCTTCTGCTAAAATTATGCACTTCCTTTTGGCAGAAGGATACAATTGTAGTCTTCATGCTATTGCAGGTGTAGTTCTATGAAAACTCACATCGGTTGTTCATCAAATTGAGGCCCCACAGTATAAATTGTAACGGAATAACAAATGCACCTCTGACCTATTGCTTTGTCTTATGATTTAAGGTGATGTCCATTTTAGTTCATGGTGATGCAGCCTTTGCTGGACAAGGTGTTGTTTATGAGACCTTTCATCTCAGTGATCTTCCATCTTACACTACAAATGGAACCATTCACGTTGTTGTGAACAACCAGGTGATTAATTAGCAATTATTTTTTATTTCTTAAAGCTCAAGTTGTACATAAGGAAATTGAATATAACCTAGTGTGATTTTGATATTGTTTTGGCACTACATGAAACTATGTTTTATTTTTATAGATTGGTTTCACCACAGACCCTCGCATGGCTCGCTCTTCCCCATATCCCACGGATGTGGCTCGCGTGGTTAATGCCCCCATATTTCATGTGAATGCAGATGATCCAGAAGCAGTAATGTATGTGTGCAGTGTAGCTGCAGAATGGAGAAACACCTTTCATAAGGATGTTGTTATAGACCTGGTATGTGTATTTGGTTTTGTTTTCCAAAATCCCAAAAGCTGTACTACTGTGTTTATCCGGTGTTCTTATAATAACTAACTTGATTGCATCAGCTGCCCTTTAGTAAAAAAAAAAGTCTGATTATTTGCCACCAGCTACATAGATGGTACACTGTACAGGCGGTCCCCGGGTTACATACAAGATAGGGACTGTAGGTTTGTACTTAAGTTGAATTTGTATGTAAGTCGGAACAGGTAAATTTTTTAAGTGTAACTCCAGCCCAAATTTTTTGTTTTTTGTTTTGGATAGCATAGGGAAGGGTCACGGTTCTTTTGCTGTCTGTTCCTGTTGTTCAGAAGAATATAATATAATTAAAAACATTTTTTATTTAAAATGGCACAGCAAAATAAGTTTTTATTTTATAAACTTTATTTTTTTGCATTTTTTATTTATTTAACTTTTTCTTCACTTTTTGTACATTTCTTTGTCTTTTTAATTTAATTTTTGTAAACTTTATTTTTTTGTATTTTAATGCTGGGAGCCATAGTCAGCCTGTTATTGGATATTTCAAATTGCAATAGCCAATAGCAGGCTGGCTATTGCATTTGCCCACTGGCTGCTGTCAATCAGCAGAGGAAAGGCCTGAAGCAGAAAGTTCTCTGTCAGGCCCCCCCATGCTGATTGACAGCAGACAGTGGGCGTGTGCAATAGCCAGC